AATCGATGCATAGTGTAATGAGGATTTAAATTAAAATACTAAATCAATGAAAAAAATCCCGGGAAAGTAATTTGCCTGGGAGCCTTTGCATTTTTTCTATATTAGTCTCATGACCATGGGCGTGGCCTGATGACGTCATCACTAGTGTTAATGATCAGGAAAAAGTTAAAACACATGAAATAACTCTGAACTAACTAAAAATGATGAGGTTATATGAGACTAAATTTTCCCTAGCAACAGCTCAAAAGGATTGGTTAATGGGCCCTTAAGATTTTATCAACCTCCCTGCTCCCCTGAATTCCAGTTTCTTCTTTAAATAATGAGGAAACCAGTAGTATTACCTTCTTCACAGAATTTTCTAGCCTGCTCATGGAAATTATTTAACACAAATTAAGGAAAATACAAGGACTTTTCAAAGCCTAAGCATGGGACAAACAGGACAACAATGTACCAGTTCTTGCTATGTGAAGTCACAAGGTACATGTAGATCATGTACAGACACCTGATCAAAGAACATGAAAACAACAGATGATGATTATAGAAGAATCAAAGCTGTACCTTGCAGCGAGAATCTTCTGATCAACTTCATCAATGGACAGATCATGAGCCAGGCGAAGAGATCCAATCAAGCTAGTTCTTTTCTTCTTGATTCTCTCGCACTAATTACAAAGAAACAAAAGAGAACTCTACATTAAGTTACTATCTGTAACATTGATGCTGCAGAAACTCCTACACAAGTGCATCATAAAGAAGGCTACGAACACTGAGCTGACATGGCAGGCAGAGACAACAAAGGAACTTGCTTCCTGCATAATTATGATCTTTACACGACAATTGATGACCTTTGAATGTTTGAAACGGAACGACCACCTCCAGAGTAATCTTGTCACCATAAAAAGCTGATTAACTTCAATAATCTGACTTTTAATCTAACGTTAAAGTTCTAAATCTAAATCTCACTCACACAATGTAACAAATTTCCATTGTGGACCAACTCTCAAGATATATGTCAGTGCAACCGATAATAGGCAAAGTGCTGAGTTCAACAATTTACAAACATAAAACTTCACACGGCCTTGAAAACAATTATCAACAGTAAAACACAGACAAACTCTGATTTCTTCTTTCAGGGAGGGCTGCTGTAACACAGGCTATTGTGTCCCTTATTGAGAACAAAATTCAACATATTCAGCTTCTGTTAAACATAATTTTCAACATTTTTTTGAACGTATTATATTCCAGACCATAATTTACAAATACTGCAAAACAATCTCAGAGGGAGACTTGAACATAAGAAAATTGACTGCATGCAGTAAAGCATCTGACTAGTCCGTATATGAGGACACAGGATCAAAACATACCGCTTCTTTTGCTTCCTTCATTTGTTTTAAAGCGACAGCTCTTTTATGATGAAAGTGCTTAGTTTCTTTATCAAATGTCATCTGAAGCCATTGTTTGAGAACTGATGGTGCCTTCCATGACTGGTACTCAAGCTCTTTTTCAGCCTTCCTTAATGCTCGGCGAACCTAAAGCAGTGTCACCAGAAAAAGTGTTAATATTGTCTCCAGTACTTTGTGTTACATTTTGCTTTTTTAGGGGGAAGGGGATGGGAGACCCAAGGGTCATTGACATTTCCATATATGAGCATTTAGACACCTTACTCAAGATAAATTACGATCTCCACACATGGGTATATACTGGTACTAGCAAATGTTTAGGGGAGACTGCAAATTAAAATGCTCTGGGGGTAAACAGCAATGGACTAGCATCTCTTCTCTCATCCATGAAGAGAAGCAACATTCCTAGTCTCCAGCACAGGTATGTCATTAGGAGTTTTCCCTACCTGTGCCATATTTTTAATAACATTTTTTTACTGTAAAGCGCCATGAGCCCTGGATATGGCGCTATACAAATCTATTATTATTATTATATATTTATTATATTAGTCTCCACACACCACAGACACAGATCAGAGTTAAGGCACCTAAACCAATAAGCCATCTCAATTCTTCTTATCCCCAAGACTGAAAAGATTTTATCCTTTAATCAGTAGTCTTTTGGAAATGCTCTGACTACTTCTTGTTTGTAGATATGTCTAGCGCAACTTTGTCATGCCCTCCCATGTGCCCAACCTGTGGGAGAGGATTCCATGCCCAGATTGGTACATCGTACCCGGTCATCCAGCAACTGAGGTCATGGTCATCTTTGACTCCGAAGGACAAACCTAACACTCCTAATGACATACCTGTGCCAACTCCTCTTCTGCAAGCTTCAGCTTTTGCATTTGTTCTTCTGTCCCTGTGTGATTTTCAGACAACAGCTGGGCTTCATTCTGTTAAATGAAGTCAGATTGCAAATCTCGATTTCGCTTTGATTTGATTTTTGGTCTACCGGAACAAATTTGCATAAAAACAAAAACTGGGTCCACGACATTTTTTATCATTTCCCTAGCTTCACCACTGACATTTTTCACCCTTTTCGCTTCATCAAAATGCCTTGCCTCTGTTTTGGTACTAATGTAAGAAGATAAACAAAATAACAGGAAAATACCAGGTGTGACATTTGACTGTTAGTATTTGTAGCTTAAACTATATGGATTTAGGGGGGAATTAAACTTAATTTGGCCTCACATGAAAGGGCTCAAAATGAGTTTTGGACAAAAACTTTGAGCCTGAACAATAAAATGTGTATTATGTGAGAGGATATTCTTCTGCTAGTAACACTCTTAATCAGCCAAGAATAGAATATTACATTTAATACCAGTCAAGTTTTTGGCTGATCAAGTCACCATTTCGGATGGACATTGTCTGTTGATCAGCCATTATTTTGAGCCTTGCCTCAGGATTCAGATTTATCAGATCAGTTTAGAATAGAATAATAGAATCAGTATAGAAACTTATTATCATCAAGTGTTTGCAGAACATTCAAGAACATTTCTTGGTTTGTATGAATACATGCAATAAGCAAGTTGGCTTTTAATAAAAAATACCTTTGATATCTGTATCTCTTCATTAAGCCTTGCTTCCAAATCAAGTTTCTCTGCAATAGCTATTTGATGATCATCTTCAGCTTTAGCCAACCTGAAAAAGCATCACAGAGACACATTAATACTCATTATTGTTGCTGGGTGTGGTACTTCAGTCGTAAAGGATTACTGAATAGATAAGGTTTCTAAACTTTGACATGAAACTCCCTTCCATGGTTGTTATGTTGTGTGAATACAAGTTAGATAATTTGTTATTAACTCATCTGGTACCAGACATACTGTTGAACCTCTCTATTTCAAATCAGGTTAACTACCTCTAACCCCTGCTTTCTCAAAAGGGAACCATTTTCCCATGGATATGCTTTTTCAGTTATTTACTACCAGCTATCTTATTCAAGATCAAAGGCTTGATAACTGTAGGTCCGGAACAGAATGTAGAGGTGGGGTATTTTATTCAGTGGTGATTTCTACTCAGCAAGATAAAGTCTGCCTCAGGCCAAATGGACTACACAGCCAGAGCTTGTCATGGTTTCTGTACAATTAAGTGACTAGGGGTATGTCTACCCCCTGGATGAGATGCTAGTCCACAGAAGGGTTACCCCCAGTATTAAATTCAATGGTGGAAAGAGGCACTGTGAGAGTATTAATTAAATTTAAGTGTCCTGCCCAAGAACACAACACAATGACCCTGGCCAGAGCTTGAAGAACCCAGAATGTTCCATCCAGAGGCCAGTATGCCAACCATTGGGCCAGTGCACCTCTACTTCCTGAAGGGGTTTCAAAAAGCATTACCTTGTCTGTAACTCCTGAAGACCATCCTCAGCCTGTTGCAGTATTTTCATGTCTTTCATCATGCGTTCCATCTGTTCTTTGGCTTTACGTTTCTGTAATACAGCCATCCAGCAACCAACCGTAGCAACCAGCACAGAGAATGCTACAACAACATCCTTCAGTAGACTGTGCCCTGAAACTGAGGAATTATGTGTAACAGACTTCATTTGTACATGTCATTAATCCCACATAAAAAGGTAAAGTCTGTTTCAATCCTAGGGAATCAGTCGGTGACACGAGGCAAATGGGAACTAGTATTGCTACGACCCCCTTTATGGGAGGCAATAGTCAGTCACAGGTTAACATGGCATTTTGATAAGTTTCCCAGCAATATTTATTAGTACCATTCAGGGTGAAGACAGGCACAGTGAAACGCAAGTGTCAATCACAAGAACAGAGCTGAGGATTGTACTGTTAAACTGTTTTCTTATTAATGTCCCTAGTATTAACTTGGACCCTGCATTTCCTTGACTCCTGCAGTTTATTTGAGCAGTGTATGTGTTTATCAAACAGGCTTTAAATTCAACTCAATATTTTTCCGGCATATGTTTAGCCATTGCTTAGCTTAAATTATTCCATTAATTTTAGAACTCAAATAACTGCTGGAGGGACTTGTTTCATCACTTACATGTATTTGCCACTGGTTAACATGTGTGACCACTAAAGAGTGAGCAACATCTTTCTGTCTTACATTTGTTACAAGTACATGTAAATCATTTTATCATTTTGTTTGAATTCACAAATCGTTTCCAATAGCACTGTGTACAGATCTTTTTCAAAGTTACATACAGTGTATCATTACCACTGAGTCTCTTTTTTAAACTACCACCTGCAGAATTTCTGAATGAAATTGGCTCATCTCCAGAATTGAAAAGAAAAATGTTACAACAAATTACATGTACTGTACATACATAAACCAAAACAGAAAAAAAAGATCTGCCTGAAAATATTTACCAGAAAATAAGAAAGAAAACAATTATGCTTAGAAACTGCTCTAAGTTATTAAACAACACAAAAAACGCTGCACAGATCTATTTAAAGAAAATTATAACCCCACCCTTTAGCCGCCTTCTATCTAATGGCTTTGATAATCTTGACGATGAAAACCTTTCCACAAAGTATTTAAAATGATTACTTTCCACAGCAGAATATCTTAAGATTCAAAAAGGCAATAGCCATGATCAATTTATGGGAGATCAAACTCCAAATTTTAAAGCACGTTGCTTAAAATTGTGAACTCTGTAGAAAGCAAAATACAGATTTAAGTGCACCTACCAAATGGTGGTCCAAAAAGAACAATATCCATGGCACGTAAGCCGATCTTCTTGCGATGTTTTGGATCCTTTATTCCCAGTTCGTTCTGCAGTAAACCATTCTCCTCTACTGCCAGTCTGCACATCACAAAATGAGAAGTTAGTCAGCTTCACTTAATTTATAGTACAACAGAAGCCAAACTTAACCCAAATATGGAACACAGCTACACCTTATAAGTGTGACTTTGTACTTTTATTGCAACATCAATGCATAAATACAGCAACTGTCCACTACAAAAATTAGCACAAAAGTATGCACTCATTTCTTTTTTTGATAAAGATCCTTCAAAAGTTTGAGTCAGTCCTTTCAGGAAAACTCTTAAAAAATGAAAGAAAATGATTCAACATGGGAAGATGCCATTTTGTAGACTAATCCAAGGTTTCTCATAACAGGATCACAGTAACAAAATGTATTGACAATTGAAAATTTAACCACATTTATAACAAACCACCTGTTGATTGTTGATTTCATCATAAGCTGTGCTATGCTCTTTGCATTCATTAATGTAACACTGAGTGTACTCATTCCATATACCCATATTCACAGCATTTTTGAAATTCACGGAATTCCAGATGAAGCTTCCAGCTAATGATTTATTTAAAGAAGCTTATAACAAACTATGGTACCTCAAACTTGATGTGCAATAAATCATTGAAAATTTAAACAGCTTTTTAACTAATACTATACCACAGCCGTAAGAAGTATCAATAAGGTTACAAATTTTACTGTGCACCTATAATTTTGTTTATGCCATCAAAATAACAAAATTTGAACTTTAACTCTGTAAAGCAGTTTTTTTAACATCAGTATGTAATATAAAAAGTAACAAAGCTCAAGGAAATTTTGACAACCTAATGCTTTAAAAAATACAATGATTTGACTGAGGATGTTCCCTGGATGGAACAAAACCCTGTAATCTCACTCTTTCGAATCAATACACAGTTAGGCCTCCAAATGTGAAACTGAACATACATGTATAAAGAACATCATATTTCTGTTGTGCACTTGTTTTGGCTGCTATGTTGGTTGGTGTACAAAGAGCTAATACACAAAAATGGCTGACATTGTCAGACAAAATGTATTTAAGGTCTCTTATTTGCAAAGTTACAGTATCTTTGTCAGTAACTTTAACATGAACATTTACCTCCTATCCTCAACATTTTACCCTATTGTTTTATCTGATCTATCTTAAAATTTCTCCTAACTTCAGTTGTAGCTTTTATTATTTTGTTTTGAAAGCAAAACAAAAACTGAAAATGCCACTGACTGTGATTTTCTATTCATAACTATGGCAGAAAACAATTTTAAAGAAATATTCTAGAACAAAAATCCTAAGTGATCTATATCATATCCTTTGAATAAGTTGCAATATGGCATGCCTAAATTAAAGAAAGCCTGTAAGTTATAAATTCAAACACCATTAATATTTAATTAGCATCAGCACTAGATGCAAGGTCAGCCACAACATAATCTTTAACACTAAAATCTAAATGTACATCATGTAATTCAGTGTGTATTAATTTATACAGAGAAAAACTGTGACATAATGACATCCTTTCAGAGTATTATCAATGTAGGAAAACAACAACTGCTGAACTAGAACAAAAAAACAATAAGTCCTAAACAAGAAAGATGTCTTTCAATTTAAATATGACCATGTATGTGGAACCTACTAATTATCACTTGTTGGTAGTGAACTTCTTATTGAGTCTACTATATAGTTTGCATTTTGCATGTTAGATGTAAATCTAGGGAAAGTTTGTTCACATTTAGTCCAAGCGATGCTCAGTTCCTGGTTCCTCTGTTTTTTGCCTTGTACATGTATCTTAATCATCAGGTACACTGTAAATATCGTTTTTATCCTTTTCTTCTGGTATTTCCCTTGCTGTATGCTGCTATTTCCATTCTTAATGTAGCATAACTATTTCTATTATTTTTTGTCCTAGAAACTGCATAAATATAAGTGGTTAAGATTTACTTTACATTAAACATAATATTGCTGTTGTGTTTGCTACAATGAAGGTACTGGACACATACAGCAAAGAAGTTCAACAAAAAATAATTCACAAAATTGCCCAAAAATGTCAGTGTTTTTATTTACTAAAGAACAAACTGAAGTTTACAGAACTCCAACCATAAACAATTTACTGGATGGTGGTGGACAGTTGATCTATAAATTATTTAAACAGTGTGCAAAAAAAGTCCTGTTCAAGAGTCCAGGACTAGTAGATTTTCCAGAAGGGGCTTGTGGGTTCTGTCCCTCACTTGCCTGATGGGCAAGTGAAGAAATGAAGAAAGGTTGGTGCAAGATTATGTGCAAAGATCAACAAAGAAACAAAGGTGACTTCTTCTGTTCTTATAATTTTCATTTGCATTTGCACATCAATATTTTAATGTAGCAGCACACAAATGACGTGGGATATTATTTCTACTGTGACATGGCTATGCATTTTTAAGTATAGTAATTATAATAATTTTAATTATTTTTATGTCCATTACCGTGGTATAACTGATCCATTGATTCCTGCAGTACTGAAGATGTCAGCATATTGTGGAAGACGAACAGAATTTGTTAGCCAGTCAATGACTTCTGCATTGGTCCATTTGTGAACTGTAATTATAATAACACAAAATGTACTAAGTAAGTAATTTAATGCATAATATTAAACCTGGTTCACACTAGCAACATAACAACAACTAGACAACAAGGACAAGCATGCAACAACATAGAGAAGAGTTCAGTTTTCTCCTGTCATTGTTAGTCTTAAAACATTATTTTATATTCCCACTATGTTGCTATAATGTTGTCTTGTTAACAACTGTGACATAAAAAAAAAACAATGTGAAGTGTTTTTTTCCTTTACAAGACCTTGCTGTTGTTTTGTCATTATGTCACTAGTGTGAACCAGGCCTTGAACATATAATGATGATTATGGTTGGAAAATCAGGGCTTCACAGGACAGTGTCACATTCTAAGGCAAGAAATATGGTTTGCA